CCGCCGCAGCATCAAAACAACCCGTCGTCCTCGCCACAGCATCATCACCACGACGGCAGGATGCATCAGCGATATCCGCGCGACGATGCCTGCAACAGAAACGGCAGGTCAGTTGCAATGTAGCTTCGATTAAAGAACTCCCTGCAAAAACGTTGCAATATTTGCAATCATCATTTTTATGAAAAGTGATTTTAATAGAAAAACGTTGCTTGTGTATTGGCTACATAGTTTCCATTTTTTAAAATGTTGGATGCAATATTTTCTCAGGAAACCCTTCAATTATTTTATCAGAAGATCGTTTCTAATTAATTAATTTTAAAATTTTGAACGCGTCTTTAAACTCATTTTAGGCGTTAAGTTAATTCTAGAACGCTATTGAGTGTAATACAATTGCTATTGATATGTAAAGTTTATAGGAAGAGGAAATAGGACACTCTTAATTAATGTAACACAAAATTTTCATACATTTCACACTCTTAATGACATGATACTTATATAATCTAGACTTTTGTAAACACAATAATCTAATTATTAACTTAAAAGGAAAGAAATAATAAGTACATTATCAAGTTCAATCTTGCTGATCATTGAAAGCGTAGTTTAATTAGCGTTCAATGATTTCGCTTTTTTTCACATCAAACTTAGCGTCAGTAGGACCAATACACCCATCGCAGGATCGCGTAATTTTTCAGAGCGATGCATCGATTACAATAACGGATTGCCTATGGTACGCGCTATGCACATATCTCTTCTAGTGGTAGCTAACCGTTATCGAGTGGCATCAATGAATTTACACTGGGAGAAAGTCGGTCCATTAATAGGACATGCGACGATAACGATCATATTATAGAGTCCACCGCAGTTCGAATTCCTTACCGCCACGTATATTAACATTCATTCTGTTCCTTGTTTTCCCCGGTGTTCCTTAGTGGTAAAAACGCGCGTCCCATGAATTCCACTCTTTAGAAATCGGCACGGACTTGCTTGCATAATCGGACAGATCCCGCTTTATTTCCGTGTGTGACGTTGTAGGATATGCTGCCCCCTCGCCCTGTCAACCACCAGCTGCAGTTCTTCGGAGTGGGCGCACGTAGATCAGGTAAAGAATTTTAAAATAGAGTATCTTGTTTCGTACATTATTACGCAATATAAAACTCCAAGAATTTATTTCTTGTTGCACTAATCAATTTTTTTCGAGAAAAAAAACAGATATAAATTAAATTTTGCTTTATTAGACTTTGAGAATTTTGACTCATGAATTTTAAATTCATGAGTCAAAATTCTCGAAGCCATATACCTTTTTTACTTCGGTTTGTTTTACTTCTTATCGAAATATCGTTTTAATATACTATACCTATTGGCAGCACGTTCTACGCGATAAGAAACAGTGCAGTAGCTTATCAGCTTTTACCGTTATCGATACGTATATTATTCCTAGAAGAGCAGGAGTATTGTACATGTGTACAATGAGTACTTGAAAATTTATGTTACATTAACTGCAAAATTTCTATTAAATTAATTACTTTTGATTAATAATTACCATTAATTGTATAAAATTCATATATATAATATTTTGATTATATTTTTTTATAAATTAAATTCTACTTACCATATATAAAAAATAATAATCATTGAATTATAATAATCACTGGAATAATTAATAATAACATTAACTACTCTTGAATAATTATACATTAAGTATAAAATTCTACTAATTATATTCTTTCTAAAATTTTTTATTGAACTCTGTTTATCATGTAAAAAATAATCGTTGAATTAAATATATCTAATAATTACTGGAAAATCTTTTAAATAAAATAAAATATTTAATTTTTCCCGACTTATCTGTTAATAATAATATTCGTGCGTTAATTATAAAATATAATATAGTAATATGCGTGCGTGCGTGTGTGTGTGTATTCTGAGTCATCCACTTTTTTGACATGTTTTTAATTTCAAAGTATAAGATCGCTTAAAAGGCAGAAATGCAACGCCTCTTTCTCATGGGGGTTTAATTTAACCGTTTTCTAGGCGCCGGAATGGTCGCGTAAACCGAATAACACAACCGTGATTCGTGTTAATCAGAGCTCGAACCAGAACCAGAATCACCGGCCTATACTGGGCGGGCAGTATCATTTCAATCCGCGTGGCAATTATGACGATGATATCGACAACGAGCCGCTTTACGACCCCGTGGCACCCAGGATCGACTATGAGGTGCATGATTTTGACGCCAATCCACGAGACGAGGCTAATCGGCGACTGGCTTATCGGCGAGATAACGCGAGGCAGCAGGACGTGATTTATGACGGGCCTGCGGACGACTTGCCCATGTACCATGGCTCCAAAGTAAGGAGATCTGCTTTCGTTATCATACCATTTTTCATCTTGAAATGTTGTCACGTTAAGTAATCGGATAAGTCGGATAATTAAATATACAAGCAAGATATGTTACGTGCCGCGAATAATTTTTTGCATCAGGAGAACGACCAAGCGGTCGGCAATCGATTGACGGATCTGCAACTCATGCAGCGACAGAGCGAAGCCGAGAGGAAGACGATAACGACCGTAGAGGTGCATCAGTCGGTTTGTCCACCTGCACCTCCGCCGCCGCTTCCTTACAAATGGCCAGCAGGTTTGACGGCTTTTCCCGCAGCATCGTTAGAATAATAACTGACCGCGTTTGCTCGAACGCCAAGTCGAAGGAAGTCCTTTTTCCGCTGTCCATTTGTTTGAAAACATAAATATTTCAAGTTCGACTTTTTTCGATAAAATAAAATACATATTTTCTCACTAAAAGAATTAAAAATATTTTCACGCTGTTCTTTCTTGAATTAATAGAGACATAATTTGATTTAAATCTTATTTGTACAATGTACATAATAAATTAAATTTAGTTAAATTAAAATTAAATTAATAATGTGATTTAAAGCTCAAATAGATTACAAATCAAAATAAATTAATTAAAGAGCTGAAAACATTATTTTTATACATGAGATTGTTTATTAATTTTAGCGTACAACTAGCTTTGACTCGTAATTTTTTAATTTATATATTAAAATTAAATTTATATTTGTACTTTTTATATTTATACTTTTTGGTGTTTTTTTTTTTAATGAAGATCTATATTTCGAATTTAAAAAGATCATCTGCTTCTATATATTTCATATTACAATCGCGGATCACCGCGTACCTATCATTACAGAGACCAAACCAATGAACGCCATGGGCATGCAAATGGGCAGCACCATGTCGATGGGCAGCACCGGCTCGACGGAGACCGAGTCAAGCCTCGAGTCATCCTGCAGCAAGGATTCCGCGTCGACGTCGTCATCTCTGTCAACATCATCCTGCGAGCCGGCATCCACCGTTTCTTATGGATCGGCGACCGGTGGCGGATCTTCCAGCGTTACCAGCAAAACGACGGAGACTTCGACAGCCACATACGCGACACCGCGCAAGGATGTCGCCAGGACGTCGCCGATCGCCAACACCGATCTGAGTACCGCCATCACGCAGGAGTTGCAGAGGCGAGCACAGCAGGTAAAATTGATCGGCGTTCAAGATAAAATCACGTATCTCGGATTTTCTTCTGTAAGATAAGATCGCTAAACCACGAGGATTGAGAGTAAACATGAAGCGTAATTCCCAATACAGTTTTTATAATGCATTCTTATCGTACATATTATTGCACGTATTGCAATCAAGATGCTTCTTGTCTTCTCTCTCAACGTATTCGTAATTTTTTAATCATTATTTTGCAACGATATCATTGCGATTGATCTGTTTATCTATGATAGCTTTTATAAGAAATTAAGTGATAAAAGGGCAAATAGGAAGAGGCGCGATAATCGTTGCGCGAAATAATATACCAGTAGCAACAAACTCTTTATTAAATTAACACGCTTACATGTTTCGTCTCATTTTTGAGCCCTCTTCAGTGACATAAATTACTAATATAAATACAATATATACGTGATATTTGTCATAGTGAGTTCCCTCCACTTCACTAAAAGAATTTCAATATTGAAGTGAAACACAGATGAATATTTAAATATTATGACAAAAGATTATCAGAGATAAATTATGCAAAACACAACTTTGAAGAATTTAAATCACATTAAAAAGAAGGAAGCATCATCACAGCACTCAATCACATCGCAAACAATTAAGTATAAATTATTTAGTAAAAAATTAAGTTCTTGATTTGTCGATCAGTTAGTGTCAAATTTATCTTAAAACGTAGAATACTTCTTTAAAAATAATTATATAGATTTTAAAACTTTAAAGATAGATCATTTATGATCAAAAAGGAAATCTAATAATAACCAATATTCAAAAGATAGAGAGACTCTGTTACAATGAAAGAATGACACTGACTGACTGGAATCAAAACAAGTCGACATTTATAGCTTGTTAATAATCGGAAAGTAGGCTTTGGGAAGCCCCTCCATATTTGTCTGCAAATTAAAACCATGCGTCTGTCTCCTGATGAACAACATTTCCGAAATTAATCTCTTTCTCTATTGAGATTCTTCATCCAAAATTACAACGTTCTCCCAATCAAACTCCCTTCTGTAACCGGTGACCGAACGAGTAGATGTATTCCATCGAATATGGTTCCTATACTCATTGTCAGTGATTTTAGACTTCAACTGTCTACTCGTCTGTCCGACATAACTCGCATCACAGTCCTTACAAAAATCTCATATACAATTTCACATTATGCGGGAGCGGATCTTTATGCACCTTAATAAATTCACGTAATTTATTAACATTATAAAACGCTACTTAAATATCATCGCTATTTAATCTGTTAAATTTTTCGGAAACTTTTCGAAAAATTACTCTATCAACTAATCCTATGACAGTATCTCTCTTTTGAGAGATCGGGTGATGAGATAAAAAATTCAAATATCTACCCGAAAATGTTAATTTGATACCAATTAAACTCAATTATATCGTTAGTAACAATTAATAAATTCAATCCATCCCCTCCGATCTCCATGATATCTTTTATATTTTATGTTCTCCATATCTATCGCGATAGAAATTGATGAGCATTATTAATCAGTTGAAGTACCTCGCGACATAATGTGCTGCAAAAAGTTTAATCTTTTATCCATAGATATCTAGATTATATCTCATTAAATAGAAGTTATTTTTCTCGGTACTATAACTTCTACATTTTTTCTATATAGATACATTTTTAGAAATGTTTAAGATAAATTACGTTCTCTATAAGTATATTTATTATACTCGCATTTCACATTCATCACATATCGTGCATTATTTTTCTTTCTCACAGAGGATGAATAATGCTGCTAAAGCAGAAGCGTCAAAGGAAAAGACTCCGGATAATCGCAAGCCTCAGAATTCTGAAATGCTGAGATCACAGGAGCAAAAAGTCGCACACGATAAGGTCAGTTGCTTGCAATTGTATATATATAATTAATCGCACATATATAAAAAATCTATAATTCGTACGCAATCCAGTCTTAATTATTATAATTTAAAGCTTTTATCGATAAACGCTTTTATTTCTTTTATTTGTGACATTCTATAATATGTAGCGTGAACTATATGTTAAATTCGCGCTAATATCGTTATGCATGTCTGAATACATGACATTGAATCTCTGCTGACTAAACCCAAAAACTCCTGCAATAAAATTAATATTTTTTTTGTGCAGCTGATGGAGGAGTTTAAACGTGCACACCAAAAGATGTTCAATTCTGCTCAACAAAAGGTGCAGTCCTCGGAACAGGTGCCCAAAGAAGTTCAGGAGAAGGTAAGAAAAAATTAATTCATTTTATGTATTATTTGAAAATTGCGCAACTTAAATTTTAGGATACAATAAAATAATATTCTTTCAACTCTATATAAAATAATAAAATATTCTTTTAATATTTTTTTGAATATGATTTTACATACGTTGCAATTTTTAATTACTGATCTGTATATAGATCAAATAAGCGTCGCGAATTTACTTTGCCATGTGGAATTTGAAATACATGAAGCTCCAACTTTCATGCGATAACAATAGTGTACTTACCTGACGCCAGTCTGGTATACTGTTCACTGATAAGCGTATCTTTCAAACCGATTAGTAACGTAATGTATTGCATGTTATAATTGCAATCAAGTATTAACAACATGCACAAGTCGAGGTTACCGTAATGTCAACAATGAATTAAATTGATCTTAAAAAATATATGAATCAATTTCAGACGAAACGTAAATTGAATTGTAAAAAGTCGAACTAATCAAAATTATCAAAAGTTATCAATAAGTTATCAATGAGTTATCAAATACTAAAAAAATTAAAAGCAATTGAAGTATAATGCAAGGTTTCACTGATATCAATTACGATAATTCTCCGAAGGTGATCGTAATTAACAACGTAAAATTACGATTGCGCGAAAGCACGATATATAACGCGCTCGAAAACAATAGCCGTTTCTATCGTATATCAAGTTAATTTCGCTTTAACGAGATGTCGAAGTGAATAGATGGCGAAGATATGAGGTCTTTCGACCCGCATGCATCTTTTTCTTACGGATATTTTCGAGGTGTAGCTAACTGGCGGCTCGAGTAGCGAGTTTTTAATTACACAACCGCTAACAATCCGCCGGTGCAAACAGATAAGAGAAATTATGAAGACTCCGGAATAGTCGTCGTCGGTGTGGCGTGCAGACTACGTAATCGTCGTGCACGTGTGCGTGCGTGCATGCGTTGCTGACGCGCCGATATATTTACCTGTGTGTATACCTGTGGGACACACATTGGTAGTATTGTTGAAACGTCGAGAGATAGCGAGCAGTTTGCACACCTTAAAGTCACGTATGTTCTGACGTTTTGTTTCAGTTCTTGCATTACCACGCGGCAAGGAAAATGTACGAGCGATATCGCAGATAGACCGCGTTTGATCGCGGAAGTAGTTTATACGTAAATTAATTATATTAACTACTCGAGAGCGCGCATTACACACACAATCATTCTCGATGTACCGTTTTTGACATAGAAATATTTATGGCAGTTTAATCAACGAAATAATAATAAGCCTGCTGTGAAAATTAATTACTAATAATTATTCGAAAGTTGTATTCAAAACCAAGCGGTATCTCGAGTGTCTTCGGATTGCCGGGATAATAGGAATAACGGGAACGACTGTCTCTCTAGATTAGAACGTGTATCTCTAGATCAGAGTGTGCCGCAACAAAGTGATTTCGTGCGAGGATATATTTCTCATTTTTCGAAGAGAATCTGAATATTATTTTCTTCGAGTAGTTGAACGTGTTATCGTTGATAAATCATTGCTTTACTTTTTCCCGCGACCAGGTGACTGTTACACAAGCGAGAAGGTCAATTGACAGCTTATGTTACCGCCTTATCGTCCATTAATCATCGTTATCGAGACGTTCGCGGATTCATTCGTCGTAAGACCAGCGACGGTAATCGTAGCACCGTCACGTCGTGTACGAGGCATCCGATACCGGGAGTTACAACGCGACACGCCGCGTCGCCTCGACGCGAGGTCTTGTGCCACATTTTTTTTCTTCACAGCCTCGAACACTGCAGTTTCCTACGAATTGTGGCGGATGTGCAAAATAATAGGGCTTACATAAGAACGCCGGCGTAAAGCGACGTAACGTGCGCTCTTCTTGCGTTCCTTCAGTTGCCTGTCGTCGGATCGTGCGATCGGCGGTCCGCGAAATAAATACCGCAAAAACGCGTGATCGCCATTCGATCGTGATTCGAAGAAAATAGCGGGATAGAGAAGTACATTTTGTGGTGAAGAGAGGAGAAAAGATTCGTCGAAACATCAACACGTAAAAAAAGAAAAAAAAATGTTTCTGTCAACATGACTGATTCTATTTAATTGATTCTCCGAAAAGTTAAAGGAAATTTTATGAATACATTGAAGACTTTAAGTTATTAAGAAATAATTTCAACGAACACTGCCATAAATAAGATTGTTTTAATATGTAATTTATATATATTAGAGATACAGTCTGTTTCGTACATGTGAAATTTAATAGAAGATAATATATGTGACTTTCAATGTTTTTGTGACCTTGTGATGAATGTAAAAAGTGCAAACAAAAAACTAACTCACGTACAGAGTGGAATACATGATATATTAAATTTCTTGTATCACTATTGCTACAAATATTGCTAGAAATATTCATAATTAAATATGGATAAAAACTCAAAAGCGAATAATACAACCAACACAATAAGGAAACAAGCGCTGGTCACAATCACTCCTTACAACGTTAGTAATTATATACAAAGCAATTAGCGTTAATGTGCAATTAGCATTAATATGCAATTTAATTTACAACTCTAGCACGTGTATCCAAGGACAGTTTATCAATCTATTAAACAATTAATATTTAAAATTAGTAGGAAAGATCAAAACACGAGCAACATTTATTGGATCTTTAAAACTAAACTAGTTTATTACAACTAAATTAAGAATTAAACCAGTTTTTCATCTATAAAATTAATCGGAAACGTTTCGACTGTACTTCTTCAGTCCATTCCAAGTCTTCTTCAGTCCATATACAAGAAAAAATTAAATATTGGAAAGAAAAATACAATATATTAAAAACATAAAGTCGCGTATCACAGGTTGAACATAATACATTTAACATTAAGTTTAAATTATATAACATTGTAAATTTTTAGCGTCATCTTATTGTCGAGTGAGATTTAACTATTTCATCGTTGGATGGCGAGAAAAAGCAAAGTCCAAATTAAAATTTTTTGTATTAAATAAAAATGTCTTGTGAAATTTGAATTGCAAAAACTCAAGTCAAAAAATTAAATCTGTATAAATCTAAAGATTCTGAATAAAAACTATGGGTATGTGCTCAGGTATCGAAGACTTCACGTAATATCAAATGCAAAAAAAATTACTCAATGTATATAATTTAAATTTAATGTTAAATGTATTGTGTTCAACCTGTAATATGACTTTATGTTTTTAATATATTGTATCTTTCTTTCCAATGTTTAATTTTTTCTTGTATATGAACTGAAGAAGACTTATAGCGAATTCGATTGGACGCACTCAGTGCGCACTGGTGCACATTAAAGCCGTTGTACATAAAATAACGTGCAGATATGTTTATAAATAAATATAGAAATCGATTAAATCGTGAAATACTCAATACATTTTATTGTACTATTAGGTAAAATATGTATTTCATAATTCGAAATATTTGCATTTCATTTTTATACTCAAATTAAATCAGTGTACAACGGCTTTAATATGCACCAATGCGCACTAGTGCTTCCAATCGAATTCGCCATTAGTACAGTCGAAACGTTTCCGATTAATTTTATAGATGAAAAATTAGTTTAATTCTTAATTTATGTTGTAATAAACTAGTTTAAAAGATTCAATAAACGTTGCTCGTGTTTTGACCTTTCCTACTAATTTTGCTTAGCAATGTCGAGCTGGATATTTCACATATTTCAATATATTTAATATTTTTGTATCGATAAATTAAGAATACATTTTGAAAATATAACGTATTCTATTTTAGAATATATATATTAATAATCTTAAATCGTAGTTTTTTTTTAATTAATAAAATACGCGTAATGTGCACACAGGAAAACACACATTGTATTTAAATATTAATTACTTGTTTCAAATATTTTAAAAGTTGATATTCTTAAATCTACAGTATACAATCTGAATCTTAATAAATTTAATATATATATATACTTCAATCAAGATCATTAAATTAAAACTTTGATTTGCTTATTATATAAAGTCGCTTCTTCGATAAAATTTTATTCTTTGAAAGAAAATAGATTTATGTTTTGAGTATATGATAATGAATTTTCTTTTTTGTAATAATTAATAAATTTAAGAGTATTATCAAGAAAATATTCTTTGTTAAAGATAACCGTTATTTAAAAGAAAAAGAGTAAACGGATTGTATATAATTTTTTTTGCAATAGAATGATATTTTTGTGTATATTAAATCCTTTTAATATCTAATTTTATTTTTACACAGTTATAATTCTAAAAATTTCATACATATATAGTGTATATCCAAACTACTTTTTATTAGAACGACGTAACAAATTGTTACTAACAATGTCGTGTTTTGTTACATTCTCAGGAACAGCAGAAGAGAATGCTCAATGAAACAACAGCGACGGTACCGACAACAGCGACGGTGCCAACAACAGCGATGGTGCCGACAACAGCAAGTCCTCCGGTGCCACCGCCAGCGCCTCCGCTTCCTCTTCCTTCTAAAAATCGGAACAGCGACGACTCGGTGGAGATGCAAAGCATCGAATCGTTCAAGTTGAAGGAAACGCCCAGTACAGTGCCGAAACCACCGCCAACGTACTTCCCAGTGACGAGTCCTTCCTCGACGAATAATAGTCCGCGACACGTTGGTACTGCAAGCAAGATTCCAAAGGACGCTGCGACGAGCCCCGTTGCGGAACTCACAAAGAACTCGGCTGCACCGGTCTCGCCGACCAACAGCGCTCAGCCTTCAAAGTTACCCAGCGGCAAGGTGGCCATCAGGATAGGGTCATACGAGGGTGAGACGAAGCAGCCATCCAGATTGGAATTCTTGCCGCAACAGCCGAGTCGTGACAAAAACGGCGTTGACGAGTCAGACAATAGCCCTGTCGTATCCAGGCTGCAGAACGAGCTTGCTGCGACCCTGCAGAGGTCGAACCTCAGAAGAAAGACTGAAGGCGTAAGCAATACCAATAAAATAAAATCGTAAATTACCGCAGAATAAGATTAGTATCATACACTCAGAGAAAAACATAATATGATGGTAACTATAAAAGTGACAACTATACAAGTTTTTTTATATAGAATAAATGTACACACATAGTCAAATAAACTAATGCACGGAGTTGAATAAACTATTTTATAGTGTTACAATAGCTATAAATAATATTATTTTAGTCAACTATATTAATTTAATTTAATTTAGTCAACTATATTATATATATTATGAACATTAATTCTATATTTCAAGCTTATATAGTTGTCACTTTCGTGAAGTTCATCATTATGTCTTTCTTTGAGTGTAAAAAAATAATGCGAAATCAGTGGAAGAAATTAAAACTGTGATCATTATAAATACTTCGACTGCATATGTTTTCTGGAATTCATCGAATTATTTAATTACGAATTTTATATAGCATTTTATATTGTAATTCTTTCTCAAAGAAAATACAACGTTCCGAAAAAAAAATGTAAACTTGTTTTTGCATTTTAGGAAAATCAGTCGCCCGTGAAGACGATTCATGAGAACGCGGCGACGTCCAGCAATGAAACAACGAATCCAGAACCGAACAAGCTTCTTCAGAGCAACATCGAGAAGCTTGCTTCCGCTCTCAGCAACAAAGTCACCATTAAAGTGAATCCAGAAAATAGTAGTCGATAAGAATCGAGTCGAAAAGACGTAGCAACAATCATCTTGTATCTTCGTAAATTTTGTACATTTTTGCACGTTTCGCTAACACCATTTCGACTTAATTATATAAGTGAAAAAGCGCTCTCCCTATTGGCGAGGTTCTTTTACACATACATGTTTTTATATCTTATTTATTATCGTATTATACACCGAGAGTAAGGAGCTAATTCTTATTAATCGAGACGAGGTTTCACGACCAGTATTTATCACGTAGTCTTAAATGTAATCTGCGATTGCGGCTATGTACGAATCTTAACGGAAAATTCGACGAAATGTTGAATTTTTAAATAAAACCGACGACACTTATAATACTTGATCTTGAACCCCTTATCGATTTCCTAAATTAATATACGAAATCCATGAGGCATTCAAGTTTTTTATGAATTAAGATTAAGAACATGATGGTCATGATTAAGAATATACCTACGAATTTTGTTATTATGGACATAAATGTAATAGTCAAAAAACATATTAATTTTACGACTTTAATGTTAACTCTTCGGAGCTGATGCTGGATCTATAAAATCTATTCAATTTATATTAATTAAAAGTCACTAATTAATTTCAAAGAACTAAAATGACATAACTTGTGTAAAAAAGTAAAAAACTAAATATATTTTAGTAAAATAATTCAAATTTGCAAATATATTAATGTAACATTAACAAAATTGAATGATATTTTTTACAAAAAGATTTATAATTGAGATCCATCGACGATACGTAAAGTGTTTGATTTTGAAGCACTTACGTCTCCGTAACACTCGATTTCGGTCAGCTCTGGAGGGTCAGTATTGCACGAGTATATATTTAAGTATTACATACTTGTTATTTTTTAGAACGTTTCCTGAGAAGCGAGAAGTTGTCTGTGAATAATGACGCATTCTCTCTTGACGTTTTGATCGAGGAAGTGTTAATCCAACACGGTTAGGTACTGGAAGGTAGACGAGTGCTTTAAAAATCCCTCGTTCGTGCAGAATCTCATAGATGATTCGTGCGATGCGATATCATACCCTTCCTCGCCGCGCGAGAAAAGCTATCCATGAACGCGTCACGTGGAACGAGATTGCCCAATCGGTCGCGGGGTAACAGGATACGCAAATTACTGTTGTCGGAGTATCACGAATTCTCTGAGACAATTCTAGTGGAGTCGTCATTCGCGGAGACTACGAGGAACGGACGAGGGGTTCGCCAGGTCTCTTTGGGTCTCACACCGACTAGGCTGATCGTTGCTGCCGACATTCTTCAGACTAATCCCGGTTTCTTTTGCCCACCTTATATCGACGCTAGTATCGAGAGCTTCGAACTCGTGTCTGTGTATCCCTTAGAATATGTTACGCTCAGCGTGTTTAGGAGGAGACGTCGCAGGACTCTGAAGGCAAGGTATACTCCTTCAGACAAAGCGAGGGGTATAAAACAATCACGATCTCTATTTTTTCTCTTTCTTTCCTCTTGTGTTAAACAGGGCCTTTACACTCGTAACTCTTAATGTATCGGCATTATTACACAGTCGTTACACAGGTATTAAATATGATAAAAAAGCTGTATAATGATGGTATGACAATGGTTATTCCAAAATTTATTGCTAGTACAGAAATATATATTTATAGTGCATGTAACATAAACTATAAATTTTCAGCGCTGACAGTGAATTTTGGAACATAGTCGATATTAAAAGTTACAGAACAGGAGCCCTGAAATCGAAAAATTCGTAGACATCTTTAATCAATTTTTTCTTAAAGAAAGTGGATTTATCTCAGATTTATTGCCCTTAGATTCATTGACGGTCGAGCTAATTATTATGAGCTTGGCGGTGAGCGACGCAGAGTTTCTTGGAAAATCTGGTGCGAACAGATACGAAGATTACTGGCATGCAAGACGAACGGTAGCTCGTTGTCCGAAACGACGGCGGCGAGCTCGTCAAGCAGTAGCGCCTTATATTTGCTGTCGTCTGAGATAGAAATCAGGAGTAATCGCGACGCGAAATGCAAAAGGTCGATATTCAGGTGATGATCGGTATAAATTAATTTTTATTTCTTTACATTATTCTTGTTATTCGCGAATGTATTTAAGGACGTTCTCCGAAAAATCCATTTTCTTTAAATTTTTCTGAAACTTACAGAAAAAGCTTGTTTTAGTGTCATTTTTACGCTTATGCTCAATCTAAAGTTTACTCGCGTCCACACAGTCACCCCATACATAGAAAATATAAGTTGAGTACCACTCCGGGTATTGAGTTTTAAAGCACATGTTCAGGACACTAAAACGAGCTTTTTCTGTAAGTTTCAGAAAAATCTAAAGAAAATGGATTTTTCGGAGAACGTCCTTAACAGCTAAATTTATTTTTAATGGCGAGTCTAGAGTTGATTTTGGCTCAGCAAAAACGTTTTAATTCTCTTGACATTACGTGAATAATTGTAATTGATATTTGTAGGTCCAGTGAGTCCGAACGTTGTATTCAACTACATACGTTATGAAAAATTATTTATAACAAATATTTTTTACAACTTCACATAATTTTAAATAATCTCATTTTTCGGATTTTGGTCTCCAAAATGAAAAAAATCGTTCAATTATGCTAACTTTAAAATACATTAATTTAAAATACACTGGACCTATGAATATTAATTAAAGAAATTTTTGAGCGAATACTGATTAGTGATAATATCGCATCTAAAAAAAACCGCGTACAGAGTATGGAATCATTATGGAGGTGCCGGTGACTACGTTGCTCCAACATGGACCGAGAAGAACTTATATCTCGGACCGTATTACAACGAGTTAATGAACGGCAATTACACGCCGGTTCCGGTGAGATTCGCTGGAGCCAGCCTGGAGGATCTTAAATACGAGCTGGAAGATCGCACACCGCGTTACATCGCTTACGAGAAATCCTGTCACAGTTGGCCGTGTCAGACAAAGTTTGATGGTCAGGCAAGATTGCAACGTGCCGGCGGACTCTGTAATGTCCTTTTCGCAAGAAGTCGCAATGTATGTCATTGCGATTACGCCGCAAGTTGCAAAAGTTCGCCTTGCAACGTCTGTCAACTGGATAACAGTGTCGGCATAAATGTTTTTGGAAAACACAGCCGATGTCACGGTTAGATTTGCGAAAGTCATAAATTGTCGTTATCTATTTAGATACATTTTAGATCCAAGTTTCCCTAGTAATAGAAATTTAACCCATAACTGGAGCGTAACTGGGTTCTGGTAGCCCTGGCAATAATTTTATATTTCAATTTTATTTTTCACAGTTTGTTCTATTTATGTGGGCTAATTATCATACTATATTTATAATAATTTTAAGTGTTCTAATTTTTTATATAATTAAAAGAATGTTAAAATTTTCTTTATATAATAATTTTTAATAACATTAAAGACTGAAAATTTATTTTTTAATGCATATATACTCGTTATGGGTTTAAAAAATTATAAGAACAATAATATAATTTATCGACTAAATGAATTCGATAAATATAGAAACGCAAATATTCCAACCGAAATACATTACATTATTAAACAATTAAAAATATTTAGAACCTCAAAACATGTTTTTCGAAGACGATTTCGTAGAGCATGTGGAAAAAAAATATGGCAAACGCCAACAACAATATCAGAATGAGCCGAGAGGGTCTTTAGCAAAAATATCGCGTTTTGGCTGCGGGGTGCCGGAGAAATGCAATTCCGAATTGATTCTGGGTCCTTATCGCGGTGATTCGGACTACGAGGACGTCGTCGATGCTCGTAAATTGCTCGAAAACGGCGTGACAATTTGGGAGGACAATTGCCGATCCTTGAAGGGTCAAAGACATCCGCGAAGATACGGTTTATCTTCGGCAGCGCATTTTTTCCACGCGCTCGGCCCGTGGTCGGTGCAACCTGGCGAGCGAGAATCTGTGCAGACTCTCAGATCATCGAGTGCAGTCAACATTCGCAGACAGCCCTCGGATCCGGAGTTGAGACTTGCGGTTTCACGCCGCCAGTTGACGGCCAGCATCTCTTGCACTGCCTTGACACCCGGCGGATCCAGTATTATTGGTGCCGTCACTAGAGGACGAGTAATACTCTTCTGGACGCCAGAATATTGGTACAGGCCTCAAGCAGCAGTGGCTGCCTATAGGTGATACAAGAAGAATCTTTGTCGTTGTTTTGAAAGCCCCGTATAAGGTGTCCAATATAGTCTATTTCCTGTTTATAGATAATTACACGGATAGTTAAATCTTTATTGTATCCATGTAAAAAATCTCATATTTTCAGTTAATATTAAAAAATATTTGTTGATTTAAATTTGACCACCAGTTTTCAATGTTGAATACAATTAGCAAAAATCGCAACACTTAGATAGGCCATATTGGGTACAATCATCTTATACGCAATTTATACTTTAACCAACGAAAGATCAATTCAATTATCTCAACTTCAACAAAAATTTAGAGTGAGAATTTAATTGTCCAATTTAACATTCAGTTGCATTTTTCATTAAATAATTTGAGAAGAGATCGTTTGTCGTAAGAGGATTAGATATTAGATATCAGCCTGTAATCAGTTATAGGCTTTCTACAATAATGCCCAATTTCTTCACTTCCAGATAAGTTGCGGAAAACCTTATCTAGGAGATATCTCCATTGTAATCTGGGAGATATCTCTTGGATAAAGTTATCTAGAGGTGAGGAAATTGAGCATAAGTCATTACCTAAGTTTTAAATCTTAAGTTACCATATACGAAGTTGACCAATCATAATCGATTATTCTTTTCACATTCGACTGTGATTGGTTAATGTCTTATGATTTGAGACTTAAAACTCATTACTTAGGTAATAGCTTATTGTAGAAAGCCCATTATGTCTTACACAAAGCCTCTTATGACAGAGAGTTGAGACATCACTTAGCATCTCTTCAGAACTTTCGACGCGGGAAAGAGAAGCAATCGAAAGGAAAATTCTTCTACCGACGAAAAAATCGGATATCAAGCGAGAATGGCGAAATTGCTATTACAGGAAAATCCAGCAGTCTCTTGGACCGCGTGTTTTCTATCAACGGCGCACGTAAACGCGATGAAAAGACAAACGGGAACGTCAACGTCGACGAAGGCACGGCACAATTGCGGAGATTGCTAAGGATGAATCTTCGCATCACCATGTGGGACCTGGACAGCACTACCTTCGCCGCGCAACTCACGTCGATCGATCGCGATCTCTTTGTTCGCATTCCCACGACCGAGATTGAGGCGCTGATCTACCAGAGATCGTCGCGCAACGCATCGAATTTGGGTGCGTGGATCGCCTTCAGTCACCGGATCACCTGCCTAACCGTTAGCGAGATCCTCGCGATTAAGCAGCTCAACATGAGGACCAGGATCATGGCGAGATTTATCAATGCCGCTGACAAGTGTCTTGCGCTCGGCAATTTTCAGTCTTGCAGGTCCATCCTGGCTGGTCTTCAGGCTCCGCCGATTTACAGGCTTCGGAGAAGTTGGTCTTATCTGAGGATTCATCACGCCAGCAGGTTTCCTCTCGTTTCAGATCCATTAGAATTTCCTAATTATAAATATCAAAGGGAAAATAATTCCGTGTGATATTTAATTAGCAAAATTTACTGTAAATCTTTCTCATGAATAAGTTTATCATACATCTTTAACATACATAGTAAAAAAAATTCTGTTAAATTTAACACATTTTACGTGTCCTAAACGGTCCTCACTCAAATTTTTGTTAATTTAACAAAGATATATGTTACGAAGTAACAAAAATATTATGTAAAAAATTAACACAAAAAATTGTAACTGACACAATTTGCGTAAGCATATTTCTTCAGTAAAATTCACATTTATATGTTAAAAAATTAATATATTTTATTCATTTACTTTAGAATTTATGTTTTAGAATAAATTATTTTTATGTTATTTGTTCACTTATGCATAGATATCTATTATTTTGATATAAAAAATATTGAATATTAAAAATTCAACATAAAAATTTCAACAAGAACTGATTTTAATACAAATACAAAAAGTTTTTTTTATTATACTATACACGCGAATAAATTAATAAATAAAATCTGAGGAATATTTCCCGATTTTCCATTTGTTAATTACTCTGTTTCGAGAAACAAAAAATGTTTTAGTACCGACATAATCATACATATTTTAGATATGCGACGATGGAGAGACTGTCCAAGATTTATAAAAGCCCACGATGTTCAAAGTATCGAAAAGCTTGGACCGTAGCGAAACGTAATCCACCTTGCATGCCATACGTTGGTCATTTTCTGATCAAAGTTCTGGGATTAAATAGCCTGAAAGAAATTCAAGCGAATTTTGCACCGTTCTTCACAAAGAAAAAGTTAACCGCGCGAATTCGTGGGACTTCAGAATCTTTGTCCATTAATAATAACTTCAACGATCATCACTCAAGAGATGACAAGAATCTAATAGAATCCAAGCAATCTCTAGTTAGGCGTATTCTTGCAGCGACGCTGACTAGGATGAAGTTCACGGCGCGCCAGAACGTCATTGATGAAACTAAGAGCGACGTCTGGACGTGCAGGCAGCGATATCTTGCACGCAGGTTTTTCAATCGTTGGCGCGTGATTACGTTGGAGATGAAAATACGCTCGCAAAACGAGAGGAAATTGAAAAATGCGGACTTCAGGAGGACACGCGTCATCGACATCGCGGTCTGGCTGACAGACTGCCAGAGATTCGCGTTGAGCTACAATTTCCCATTAAACTCGTTTGCGTACGAATATCTTCTGAAGGCGCGTTACAGAGAGGACCGCGAGAACTTTTTCATCAGTCTCAAGCTAGAACCGCCGAGGACAACTTGAATCCAAGCGCATTGGCAAATCAGGATTACATCATCGACGATCGATGTGCGATCGCCAATTCTAATTATCATGCGTTCATCTCGAGAGCGAAAGAGAATCGTAATTAATTTATTATTTTGAGCGCAACAAAATAGGTAAAATATTGATATACTAACAAAGTGCGCCGATTGTTCATCCGTAAATATTCTCTTTAAGATAATGACATATTGGAATGTTCAGTATTATTTATGATTTATATAGAAGTATTTTTACTCAAAGAAGTATCATATACATGCGCTTTGTACGATTATTATTGCTATAAACTTTAATAACACTTTAATAAAAATAAGGATATTAAATAATTTCGGATATTATATCTCCAAATATATTATAATGAGTACTAATTGGTACTCTGTATACTTCTACTTATATGCTCGGTCCACAATCTTGCTTTAAGAGGTCGTAAGCCGTAAGCCTTAAGAAATTGACTAATCACAGTTGAATATGAGAAAAATAATCGACTGTGATTGTGTGTGTGGTCAATTTCTTACAGTTTACGGATCTTAAAGCAGGGTTGTGAACCGAGCATTAATTTGTTATAATTTTTTGTCTGGGAAAAGATTAAGACAATTTCTTTATCATCGTTTTATTCTGAACATAGTATATACAATTGTTATTTTACACATATTATGTGTGTATATTATCACCGACGAGATATTATTAAAGACATCCTTATGGGAGTTCGCGTCCTTGTTAATATTGAAGTGATTAAGAGTAAAAAACTGATAATATTGTACTTTTATGATTTATTAGTTTAATAGACGTGTTTATCGGTGTACGTACATTTAAAACTCAATAATACTCGATTTTTCTTTAAAATTGTGATTTCAGTGTTATCGTCAAAGTTCGATTATCAACAGAGATAATAACTGCAGAGAAAAAAAATTGTAATTTTTCGGCAATATATAGGATATTATAGCTTTACAAATATGCATATTTATTTATAGAGCATTTATGTAATAAAATATCATGAATTTAATAATGTATTAGTCAAATATTTATGTTAATAATAGCAAATTTATATCAATTGTCGATAATGTCAGCGTTCTTCGATTACCTCCGGGCCCTTGGGGCCCTTTTTATACCGCCGAAAATTTGCCCATTTGGTTGGCGGTCTTTAATAGTATCTCGTCGGTGATATTATACATATATAAATATATATGTATATATACTTACATATATGTATAACATATTTCTCTATTAAATTTCTCAGTCATAAACTTAATAAAGAGTGTAATGGTTGGAAAAGTGAATCTCTGAACTGATAGGTACCAGATTCTGACTAGATAACAATGCAGTGTATGTACAGTTGAAAATGAAATATTTACGTTATTGATTTAAAAGAATAAGAGTAATGTAATATACATATAATAACGGACAAAGGGAACAGTCTTTTTCTGGCACAAAATCGAACGTAATTCTCCCATCGATCGTATCGTAATATATATATATATATACTTATATATTTTAACACATTTAAGATCGCAATTACAATTTACGCAATTCGCACAATTTTTGTTCCTTAGAAGAAGAAGTAGAACGGCATTCCGTTCTTGCGTCCTACAAGAATAGAATAGCGGTTTTTTTCTTCTTTTCTCTTTTTTTTTTATCCATATAGAGATAAGACTCTGCGCACACAATTTTAACGCTAACACGAAATGTGTTTCCAAATACATTGCGAGCGAAATGCGCTGCTACCCGATACTTTAAGGACGAGATCTTTACGATATATTAGAATAAAATTTCATGAAGAGTATCAAAATAATTACTTGTGCTAATATTAGAGCATCCTTCTGTAAAAATAGATCGCAGTAATTCAAAGAGGAATCCTTGCTTCGAACATTATTGACATATTAATTAGTCGCATCCATTTCGAATGCACGCATTAGATTACAAGTATACAATTCCCTTTTCCCGAGTGATAAGTCCAGCGAAATAAAATACGTTAGTGATCAGTCGCGATTGAAAGGCCATTTTCGTTAGGATCGTCAGATGCTAACTTAGTAAAATACGACTAATTAAAGAATAGGAATTTTTTCTCTCGAGTCTTCTCGGTCCTTAAACCTATCGTCAATCTGATCCCAATGTCGTATACCGTTCCGATAATCTTCTCCCATGTCAGTCGAGTAAAACGTGGAGCTCATCACTCAGGCTGCTTGGAAGAGCAGCCTGCATCATTTTGCCGCACGGCGGCTACCCCGCTTAAATCACATACCACCGGGTTTCGGAAGATTCGTGTCGTAGGCTCTGATCACGTCCGTCTGGGTCACCGAACCACCTTCCTCTTGCGAGAACGCGAAACCATCTGCATCGCGCAGCATGCGCAATAACAAAGGTCGCAATTCATTAATTTGTGCTATAAAAACGTTTAATAATTGGGTATGCAAAGCGTCGGAAGTCTGCCTTCTACTTTGTCTAATTCGCCACGTCTAGCGATCAACTGTCCATTATCTTTCTCATAAATTTTCAAGCAATTCGCACACCCAGAGAAAGATTTTTTCAGTTCAAAGAAATGTTTCTTTGCTATACGGTTAAAAGAAAATCTTTGATTTGGACGTCATTTCTTTGATTTGAACATAATTTCTTTTTATTTTATTACAATTTAAAAAAATGTTTAAATAAAAAATGACGTTCACGGTTCAAATCAAAGAAATTTTTTCTTTAACTGTATAGCAAAGAAATATTTCTTTAAATCGAAGAAACCTTTCTCTGGGTGCATGTCCACGAAAATTACATTCACAAAATTACATCGCGTAAAACAGTTTCGTGTTTCGAGACGGATTTGTCAGCCATCGCTAGATGGGTTTGTAGCAGCCGGGGATTCTCGGTATTGCCTTAATATACAATATTTAAGTATTGGAATTCAATAAAGCGTTATTTATAGCAAAAAAGAAACTATTCTCTATAGTCTCGGATCAATGTTCTCTAGTTCCGCTAAAATCATAGCTATATATACAAGGTGTTCCGGAATTGTCACACTGCCATTCGATATGATAGATAAGTTTTAAGAATTTAAGTCCTTATAACAGAATCTGATCACGAGTAATTTTGTCAAAATAAAAGTGAAAAATAAGGATATATATACATATATGCTATTTCATTTTAACTTATATTATTTTACTCATTCTAACTTACTGAAGTTGACAAAAATGACGGACTAATAAAAAATTTGTCATCTCGTGACCATTAGACTCTGTTATAAAGTTGCATAGACTTTTGCATAACACATAATATATAAAGCGTAAGAAAATCAACCAATCAAATTTATTGCATTACGTGTTATGCGTTATGTAAAAGTCAGTACTCCCCGTCTTAAGGTCTCTATTAAAAAAATGGAAGAAGAAGGGCGCGACTTCCGGTACACCTGGCGCAATGCATCGGCTGATAAAAAGGATATATTTCAGCTGCTAGATAAAACATAGTGCATGTGCAAGAGTGTGCAATTAAATAATCAGACTTAACGAAAACACGTAGAACTCGTTCGAAATAGTAATTTAAAATACTTTGGGACGGCACTCGTCGATAAAATAAAGCTAGACGGACGAACGGACGAAACGAGAAAAACGGAAAGCCGGTGAAATTAAGCGCGTGCTCGTATTAGAAATAAAGTGCGAAAAAGTAAAGTATACGAAGAAACACGTTAAAACAATTTACCCCAGTAAGAAAGTAGTTTCGCGAGGGTCATAAAGTTGACGGAGGGGTGGGTTAATCGATTTGGAGAATCGTTAGGGGGTAAGACCGATCCCGGGCATCGTAAAGGGGAATATCTCCGGGCTGTGTGCGAGTGTCTGTGGAAGAGACAACTTACGTGATAGCTCCACCTCGACACTGACTCTGGAGGCGGCGTTCGAGCGCCTGGTGAAAACGCTTTTAACATTTTTCAGCAACCTCGCCGTCTCGGTCAATCTGCAAAGCCGGGCATTCAACAATAATTTAAAGATTATTTTTCTCGGCTGGCCGGAGAGAGCTCCTCTCGCGTCCACGCGTCATCGTCGCATGGACAAAAATCGTTTTTGTCTATGACGAAATATAATTCGCTCTTTATTTTTTCTCAGTATCTATCTTTCTAAATCGTCGCTTTATAATCTCTCGCCTTCGGGATATTCTCGGCCGACAATGTTTTTCCAATCTCAAATGCAAAACTCCGAGTTTTCTTTTTGTTTCACACCGATGGAATACGTGATAGTAAGTGCGGTACAACTACTGTGCAGGAATTAAGTAAAACAAGGTGAAAATCAAATGTGAAGATCGTGAGGGATGGATGTTAATTTACTGGCAAAGGGAAAAATCAGCACTACTCTTATTAGAAAATTAATTAATTAATTATAATAATTAGACATGCGCGCCGCTGATAAGCCAGGTGTACGTATGCTATCGCAAGCATGAGCAAGTTATAATTACTACCATAGGAATCATCGTGAACTACACCGAGACGTGAGAAAAATTGCGTGATTGCCGTTTTCAAATCGTTGTGCTCTGTGCTTAGCCTTTTTTAACCCAGCGGTACATCAAACGATCATGCGATCTCATTTAATCGGCGGTGTTCTCGCTTGTTTGTAGTGTGGAGAGAAAGAAAAAAAAAAAGATATAAGTAGGAATATTGAGAAATTATATACTGGGTACTGGGGGGGTACTTACACCTCGCGAGATCGGCGATGGCATGCACAGGCCTGCACGGGATACCACGTAAGAGAACACATCAAAAAAGACCGCATTAACGAACGACAGATCGTTTACAGTGAATTAGTATAGTAGCTGATACACCGTTAATTCTACTATAAGCTCTATTTACTTGAAGGGTACGGTCAACGTAATGCCTTGAACAAATGCTTTGAAGCATTCTTTGATTGGCCATTTAGTAAAATTCTTTCTTCTGATTGGTCAATCAAACGCTTCGAAGTGCTTTGTAGTAAGACTGAATCGTACTCTAAGAGAATAATTGGGAGGCTACAAGGACTCTTCTAATGCTACATGACTCAGAATTCATTTATCCTAAGGTAGAAATCTAAATATACCGATAATCTAGCTCCATTGGAATATTTTATGTGCACGTATGTATACAGAGTTATAAACAATAAGGAATTGATTTGCTGCCAATACGTATGCTACACTGATTGTGAGA